TAGATGATAGTAGATGATAGTAGATGATAGTAGATTACAAAAGATCATAGTAGATTAGAATACATTAACGTAGATTATTGTAAATATGAGAGATTATGGCGAGTATGGTAGATATGGTGGATTTTCGTAGATTGTAGCAGACTATAAAGGATTCTTCGGAATCATATCAGATTATCCGCCGACCCCCCTGGGCGGGCCAAAAACATCTAAGGACGCTCCACGCGAGAGCTCGATTTGAGACAAAATGTGAGCATGTTCCACTCTAGAGCTCGATTTCGAGACAAAATGCAAGGACGCTCCACGCAAGAGCTCCATTTCGAGGCCAAAATCTGAAGACGCACCACGCCCAAGCCACCCGTTTTTTCTTTTTAAGAAAATACAACAGAATCTGCGAGCGAATTCTGAAGTCCCCAAACCCTCCGAAAAAAACATCATGAGCACTGAGGTTGTTGAAAACCAGCCTCAAGCCCATCCAAGCTCGGCCAGCAATTCCGATGATGCTCATGATGCTGGCCCCTGCACCAGCATAATCAGCATCATTAGGCTTGTTTCTCCATGAGGGTTGCGGGAAGGGGTGTGCACACGCGCGCACCTTTCCCGCCTGGTGCTGCGTATCGGCAACCGCTCCAGAACTCTCGTTACGTTGCCTGCTGCGTTGCCCACCCCTGGAGGCAGCCCCTTAATTAAATAATAGATTATAGGAGATTATGGCAGGCTAGTCATGATAGGTTATAATGATTATTTTAGAAGCTTTCCATGCGAGCCTCCAATGTCCTATGACATGGCAGAGTAACTGATGCCAACATCCACGTCATCGTTTTTGTTCCTTCTCATTGCCTTTTTGGCCTCCCAGCACCATTCGCGAACAAAGGTCGGGGCAAAACTAAATTGCAAGCGGGGGCTTATCAGACCACCCCAGTTGCCTTTTTGGTTGGACAATGTAATTCCCAAGGGGGTTGGGTCTCCACTTTCTGATTCCCAACGGTGGGTTGGTGGGCGAGTCTCCATGTTCAATCCTTTGAAGCTCACAAACTCCAAAAATGGTGGCGTTTTAGCGGGTTGCCTTTTTGGTTGGAAAGCTCCAGCAGAAGAGTGATGGGGGAATCTCCTTTTTCAAGCTTTTTGGGGCTGGAAAACTCAAAAACGGTGACCTCCCCCACCCCACAGGTTGTCTTTTTGGTTGGAAGAAGGTTGATTTTCAAGTGAGGGTTGGCGGGGACAGTCCATTTTTCAAGCTTTTGGGGCTAGAGAACTCAAAACGATGACTTGCCGCAGGTTGTCTTCTTGGTTGGAAAACCCTACCAAAAGTGGTGAGTCTCCATTTTCAAGTTCTAGAAAACTTCAGAAATGGTGACTCCCCCGCAGGTTCTCTTTTTGGTTGGAAGGCCCCACCAGAAGGGTGATGGGGAATTTCCATTTTCAAGCCACTGGGGTTGGAAAACTCAAAAACAACGATTCCCCCCACAGGTTGCCTTTTCAGCTGGGGTTTGGTGGGGGAGTCTCGGTTTTGGTGAACCACCCGCAGGTTGTCTTGTAGGTTGCAAAGCCCCATCAGAAGGGTGATTCCCAAGGCTGCTTGGTGGGGGAGTCTCCATTTTCAAGCTTCGTTGGGGCTGGGAAACTCAAAAACGGTGAGGTTTCAAGGCCCCACACTCAAAAACTGGGCAGGTTGCTTCCGAGTTGGACAGGACAGCCCCACCAAAAGGGCGATTCCTAAGCAGGGTTGGTGGAGATGCCTCTTTGAATGCTGGTCATGCTTGTCATGGCTGCCTCATGCAGCAACACCACTTCACCGCCACGTCGTTGCAAGAGGTTGTGACCTCATCCATGTTCCAGGAATCCTGCGGCTGTTCCAGAAACCTTGTTCTGGTGGTCGTCGCCAATTGCCATCCTTGCCCCTTTGCCCCTTCCTCAACTTGCTTGTACAAGCAATCATTTGTTTTTTTTCAGGTGCAACTCCCTCCACATTGGTTCCCTGAATATCCGGTACGGCCACATAGATTCAAGGGTGCTGACAAATGCAGCGCACATCCCAGTCGCATGTAGCCTGGTTGGTCTGGAAAACAAATCTGCGTTTATCAGCTCCACACCACCATACTGTCCTTTCGAATGCATCCCTACTGCCTGCGCATCCATGCAAAAGACATTAAAAAATGCACCTGCAAGATCATTCAGTTTGCACGCATGTGCCTGACCCAGCCATGAACTCGCATCTGCGAGAGCATGCATGTTGTCGGTACATGCAGGCTTTCATCCCTAACCCGGCTTAATGTTCACTTGAAAGTTACCGATTTTCCCGCCGCATCCATGCCTAAGACATAACGTTTTTCCTGTTAGAAACCAGGCAACCTGTCAATAAGTTATTGCCCAAGCTGTAGCAACGTCCGTCTGCGAAACGCTCATGTTGCCTGCGCACCGCACCCAAGCCAAAAACCTCGTATCTGTGAGTGCATCCATTTTTGCAGCGTATCCATGCCAGAGCCAAAAGAGATCGGTACGCACTAGTGCTCATGACAAAGATCTTTACGACGTCTTCCTGTTCCACAGGATGTTGCATTTGGCATTTGCTACTATCAACTCCGTGAATTTCCGTGCTGAGCATAAACTTCTTTAAGGGTGTTTGTTGCTGCTGCGCACCACCTTTCTGTAAAAGCTGTTGAGCATAAGAAGAATAAGAACGCTCTAGAAGCGTTCCGAATTTCAATGGCTTCTGCAGCAAATATTACCGCCAGGGGCTACTACGGGCCTGAGGCTACGAGCCGGCCCAGGAAGAAATCTGCAGGCATCCCCGGCTCTGTAAAGGTTGGACCCACCCACCCACGTTCCCACTCTCAAAAGAATGCTCGCGGTTGAATGAGTTCCACGATACTGAACCCCAGAGCTTTGCGCGTGTCAGAGCAATTCGGCCATCTGCAAAGACGTCTACTTCATCCAGGCGTGGTCAGGCGTTAGTTCGGAGCCCTCCACACCCTCGAGAAATTGTGAAACAGTGTAGCTACCGCCTAACATGAAAAGCCTAAAATCCCTTGACCATCCAACCATATCCAAGCCAAAGCGCCCCATGACCAGCTGAGTCCAGTCCCACGTGTCTTCTCCTAGCAGCATTGCACTTCATTGCACCAGCGTGTCAGACTCAGCCGATTCGTCCTCCTCGTACCAGCCTTGACAGGTCTCACACACGAGCCAGAAATTGGCAGGAACACGCAGGAACGAAAGCTCTGGAGGCAGCCAAAGATGCGGCCAGGGGGCAAGGCTTTTGCCTAGATGCAGCCGTTGACGTTTTGAAGACCTGCATTCTCCAAGCAGAGGCAACTCAAAGCACGGCCTCTTTTCGTGCCTGCGAGCCGTTGGGGCTCTCAGCGCCGCCTTTTTGCAAGCACCACTTGCAAACTTGACAAAGTGAGTGGCTTCAAGATTGCTAAGACAGGTACGAAGTGACTCCGACTGGCGACGTCCATTCCCAAAACCTAAGCACTGATGCTTTGCTGCCTGGTGATCCCCTTTTGCATACAACAGGTCGGCCCAAAGTCTTGCAATGTATTGGATAAAGTTTTGAAATTTGTGTAAAAATGGGGGTCACGGGAGGTCTCACATAAGCTTGTAGGCTGGCAGCCTGCGCTCCCCTCTCATGTCTCGGACAGCCTAAGCTTGTTGGAAACTAGGCAGCTGCCCAGCTAGTGGAAAAAGCCAACGTGACTTAGAAGCCTCATTTTCTCCTGGCACTTTAAGGGGGCTATGGCCACATGAGCCCGCCCCTGCCCAAGGCCAGCTTGGTGAAACAAAATTCTCCTCCGCATCCGCAGAGGAAAGAAAAAGACGTTCAGGGGACTACCCGCCCCTGGTTGGCCCAAGGCCCGCTTGGTGAAACATGATTTTCCTCCAGAGGGGGGTAGCTCCTCCACAGAGGGCAAAGGACTCCGCCTCAAGGGGGTAAAAGAGAAAATGCCCCCACGCCCAAATGTCCTAGCTCGCCCATCTGAAAAAAGCGACTAGGAAGCGTTACCCCTTGCGAAGAGATCCTCAAGAAGCGAGGCAAAGTGTGGCAGATTGGCACCTGCTGCCAAGCTTTGCACAAGAAGGGCGCGGGCCGATTCAGATTC